ATACTTGTGTTATTTTTAGGTGATTTGGTAGTTTAAAAGTTATTAAAGATAAAACTATTTTCACTAAAGTTATTTTTATTGGGATTAAATTGTATATTTACGATTGTATATGTCGTGTTTATTTTGTAATATTGAAAAATATTTGCAAAATTAACACACTAAATCCACCCGCATCAATACACTTCATTTATTCCTCATGGGCAGCGGTATCCAAGAAACTCTGCCTCAATCCTCGTAAATCTATATGAATCTCTTTCACATTTCCAGATAGATCCAATAGAGACCGAACCTATGATTTTTCTCCCAGGTAAATAACTAATTGGAGATTTACTTAGAAGGACCACATACTAAGGTGAAATCTAAGAAGCCTAACATGAAGGAGCAGGCCATGAAATTTAAAAAAGAAGTAAAAGTCTCCAACCTGCCTCCCTTGATTGTGTGGACTACCACCTCTTAATGGAAACCTAACTCTAACCCACTGATACACCTAAAATATTTTTAGATACATTTTTATACCTATTTTTGATATATTGCGCTTTAATGGAAGGTATTTTTGTGTTTTTCTTGCAGATACATGTAAAAAGGGTGAAAAATGCTTAACAGAATGAAAAGTGATCAAATTTAGAGCAAAAATGTGAAAAATGTGCACAAGAGTTTTAGTGCCTAAGCGCCGGTTAAACAGAGAAGGTCGCGTCAGAGGCCCCCGCGTCGGAGCCCCCCCGCTTAAGCGTCAGTGGCAGTTATTAGGCGAGTAAATTCGGTTTCCGTGAATTTTGAAGAGGTTTTTGAGGTACCCTTGGCTTAATAGGTGGTTATAACCACAAGGGACAAAAATTATCACGAAAAGATGCATCTCTTTGGGAAATACATCGAATCTAGACATATTTTGAAGGGAAACCAAGACACCTTTTGAAAAATTATAAAAGAAAGAAGATTAGGCTTTGAAAGATGTCCTGAAAGTATTGGAAAGTTTTGAAAGTTCTCATTTGGGGAGTTAGTTCGGAGAGATTTTCAGACACCATTTTTACTTTTATTTTATCTTTTTTGTTATTTTATTTTGAGTGATTGTAAAGAGAAGAGAATTAAAGGAACTTCAAGAGTTTGGTGGAGGACTTGAGATAAGTTTTTATCTTTTTATTTTGAGACTACTTTTGGTTTTAATTGAGACTTATTACTAGTTTGATAATGATTTCTTCTTTTAAATTAAAGTGTGGTTTTGTTTTCTCTATGGATTCTGAGTAGTTTTCTTTATCTTTCTTCCTAAAATTGTAAGTAATTAAGTTTTGGATGGAAGTTGTGAAAAGTATTAATCTTCAATGATGGAAGAAGTTGTGATGATTTAAATCTATGCACTTCATTTACTTCTTGATTTGGCCAATCCAGATGTTAAAATTTATTGTGAGAACATGTAAGAACTAGGTTGGTATTGTCTCA